AGCCCAAAACGCTAACGGACGAGGGGACCAACCCATTTACGAGCGCCTTTAATGCCCTGATTTATAATATGGTTGTTCCACTAAATCATATTGTCTCTCATTTGGGAGAAGGGGGGGGGGCACTACGACTTTCAATGTTAAGAAAAAAGATCCCTTGAGGCTAGGCCACAGAGAGGCCATTCATGACCAATGCGAAAAGCTGTCCTTTGGCGGAGAACACAACAGGTGGTCACTCTAGGGGCAGACCCTTTCCCTGAGTAATACGTGCGGGACCGCAGCCGCACAAGTGTTTCGTTCAAAAGCTTGCGGCAATCGAGGAAGTTGCTTTTGAGGACTCGATTATCCTTATCTCTCCGCCTGCCATTTGACGTAAACCATGGTCACGCCACAAGCCATACGGCCGGCCAAGCGGCTACAGTTGGACTCATAGTTGTCCGTATGGCGATACGTGACTGGTCGTGTGGCGTAAAACGTGGCTAAATCGTACAAAACGGATCGATCGATTGATGGGCGGAGACATAAAGAACATCAAACTATAGCAAGCCTCTGGATTCATTGTCACGAACTTCTGAGTGGCGGTACTACCACTTCTATCACTTTGGGCCTGGCCACCTCATGCACGGTAAGGATACACCTTTCAGCAAACCGTAAAGTGTGTCTTCACGCTCATTTTGTTCTCTGATTATATAGCACCCTCTTCCCCTCCTTTACAACATTTTACTTGAAAGTAGGTAAACAAACAAATCGGCAGCGTGTAAACCCTTACTTATGCCACGTGCGCATTATACACAACACTTTTGTGTGTATTCTACACTGTGCGTATTCCACAATTCCAATTATCTCCCTGCGAACTCGAGCCGGCTTGACGCTATTCAACCCCTACCAGTCACGCATACGACTCCCATGTAGGATGCCGGCGCAGTTCGGCTTGGTGGGGGTAGCGAATGGCAGTTAGCTAAGCTTTTACTGGGCCACCTTACGAAGACATTAAATTCGTGTGAGCAAAGTGGCTCACTTGCACAATTTTGCAGCTTCACGGGAGTTTACAAGTCCGACCAAGGTAAGATCTGGCTAACTTGAAGCAAAAAAAGGAACTAGGAAAAGTGCAAAATGCCCCCTCCAAGCCGAACAGCGCCGGAGTTGCTCGATGGACATTCTGACCGCCCTTTCACGACACTTTAGGCACTTCAGACATTCATTTGCCCTCGCACACTCTTCTTAAAACGCTCACCCAAGGCAACGACGACGTGTTCGCTGGGCAATTAGAATGTTCGGCGCTAGTTAAAGCGCTCGATGGAGGTGCGCGTTAAATGCCGGAAGCACAGCGGCCACCTAGCGATTGCTAGCGATTGAACGCCGTCGTCGATCGAATGGGGGCTATTGTTGAGAGTAATCAAACGATATAACGACTAGCAAAATCATCAACAACACACAAAACGCACAACACCCGGTGTTGGATACAGTGCAGCCGCAGTGAGCGCCATTTCCACCCACAATAACAACGATGACGATGATGACAGACGGCAGTAAGTGTGTTCCAAAGTTTTCACTAGCAAATTATCGCCAGTTCAAGTATGACGTCTGGCTGGTTAGTCGTTTTAGTCGACACTAGACGTCGAATTGGTGATGTCGTGTGAAGTGGAATGAGTATGTAGCTAGAGACAGCAGACAGACAGCGAGTAACCTAATCGACGTCGATTAGCACCACCAAGTCTGAGAGTGCACTTGGGGTGTGAATACGACGACTTGAATAACGGCGGTGCACGGAGGAGGCGGAGACGGAAGCAGCGCCTACAACGACAACGACGTTGACAACGGCGATGGTTACGGATGGGTTGCAGAGGTAGTTGGTCCGTAGGTAACGAACTCCCTCCGCAACGAACACTGCAACAATAACGAGCATCGCACGGATCAACACAGTCATTATCCAAAATCAATTCGATAACATGTGTACGTACAGCGAGCACGAAAACAATGAAAATAGGTCACATTGGGCAAAAATTCACAGCGCAGTTCGGCTTGGAGGGGGGAGGGGGTGAGAGAGAAGGGGCATTTGGCACTTTCGCAACTTACTATCGTGCTTTACAGGGGTTAACAAGTAATTCTACAAACTTTGAGTGGTATCACTCCACAAGATTGTAGAGGTCTCCTCTTGATGGCCTGACACATCGATGGAAAGCAGCGCAAAGGCAAAATGTCCTCCCCCCTAGCTGAACTGCGTCAAATTCACCATTATTGAAGCAAGATGGAAAGATGTGAATAAAGAGGAGCACAGAGAGTAGGTCGTGACAATTGATCATCACGTCAATATTCAAGCCAAAAACAAAACAATTTGAGCATAGTCCAATCTGAGCGGGGATAAAAACCCATCGGGAAGGGAGATCATTGACATGCAAAGTTCAAATGGCGAACACACTCATTGGTTGGCGATTTGGTCGAGTCCGTATCCAAGGGTTGGTACGCCCCCCCCCCCCTCGAGTCTTACATGGAGCTTCGAGAAAGCAGGGGAGACAAATACGACCACTCTCCACCACTGCACCAAAAGACACTACCTCCTGGTTGAAGAGAACCAATAACGCTGTGCCGCTCTGTAAGTTCAAAAAAATACTCAGGGAAAAATAAATATTAATCGGAAACGAAACAGTTGAACATTGTCAAACTAAACAACCCTTGGCGGGGGGGGAGTCGCAACACACCGGCAAGCACTTGTCAACAACCAAATCGGTAACCGTACACGGAGATACCCCGGAAAACTTAATCCATATACCCTGTAAGCCCGTTAGCACATGTCAACCCCTAAAAACTCCTTCAAAGACTTCAAAATGACATTGAAGAAAGAGTGGATAAAAAGGGAGGGGGGGGGGTCTCCCAAAGACGTTGCATACCACGTTCGCCAAGCACAGGAATTTACAGGGCACAAGAACAAGAATTTCAGGCGTCGCAGGTGAGACAGGATGTAAAGAGCAAGAAAAAACAAGACCATACACGAAAATCGGCTACCAGGATGTGCCGCGTCCAAAAAGGTTATCTACGTGCCCGAACAGATTACCCACTTACAGCACTTGCTTTCATGAATCTCGGCTACGGTGGGACCGCGTGATTGGTTCTGAAAAGGGCTTGAATCCGAGAACGCAACAGAGAAATCTCGCCTGGAGTTATAGTAGTGCGCAGCTGGTTGACGAATCCGGCTTCATAATCGGATTCAGACTAAGATTATGTCAAAGAAGGGACGCCCGAGGAATTTAGAGCTCGGGAACCGTCCCAGAACGGGTACCTGAGGGGTCGAATGAAGTCCTAGTGGAGGAAGTCGAATCACTGTAACGTGCCTGTAATCGGCATTAAGAAAAAATGAATGAGAACGCGTTGTAGCGCAGCTAGTGCAGCAGACAGCTTAACCCTCATAAACATCGACAAGAGAACTGAGATCCAAA